TAAATAAATCAATTCAAAAAAGACTCTCACACTCTCTTTCTCTAGTATCAGCCACAATACTCCTCCACTTTTGTTGTTAGCAAATACTAAAGAAGAAGAAGGCGGATATTGTTTCATCTCCATAAGTATGTAAATTTCTCATATTTTCCCGTTGATTACATTTTTCGTTATTTGGGATAGTGGTTGTGGGTTTTTCAGAACTGCAGTGATTGATTTCCGATCTTCACTGAAACCATTCAGCCCTAGTATGCTTAACATATTGCCTTTGTTCGGCCTTTCAGAGCCAAACATGTTGACGTAAAACAAGCAGAATATGTATTTTTACGTAAAATAAAAAAAAAACACAAAAATCAAAAATTATACTTTAATATTTATGCGAACACTAACCTCATCTTTGATGGATTACTTCAAAAAATATTTTTGATTATTATTATTATTATTCGTTGTTTGATTTTATTTAAATTTTCTTCTATTTGCAAATACCAATGCAATAAGAAACAATGATATTGATGATAATAGTGAGTTTTGGTGGGGTGAATAAAGTATTGGAGTGAGAAAGAAGATAAAGAGAAAAAAATTGAAACTTAGTGAAGAAGATAAAGATATTTAAATAAAAATAATACGTATCAATGATTAGGGTGTACCATGAAAAAAAAAAATATTTTATTTTAAGATTTAATTATTAGTAAATTTAAATTAGGGTATAATAGAAACTAAAATTTTAATTGGGCATACTAAGTTACTATTTGAGTACAAATAAAATCACCCCTTTTTTCAATTAACAGACCCATTGCAAAACACTAGTGATTACTGTGAGTCACTCAATACAAGAAATTAAAGTTTTAGCAACAAAATTACTTTTTAGGGATAAAATATTTTTTTATCTCCAATAGTGTTATTATTTTATTTCAAGTGAAAAGATTGAAAATTTAATGATGAATTACTAACATTTTCTGACCAAAATTGTTGTCTAAAAAAAACAAAAAACTTTTTGGGACCAAGTTATTTTTTTATTAACGGCATTTTTAAATTTCTGTTCTTAAAAGCTCTTTTTTAACTTTTCGGGATTTTTTTTAGCGACAATTGAAATTAATCCCAAAATATTTTTTGTAAAAAAAATTATATTTTTCGAGATAAATTTTTTTTTTATCTTTAGAACTTTTATATGTTGTAGTGACTTTTGTAACCTCAATTATTTAAACCCCAACTAGTGGTAAATGGGACTGATTTATAACGTATAAATTTTTTAATAATGCTTTAAGCTCTAATTTAAATCATAAAATTATAATCATAATGCATATAGATCATCTTCTCAAATTTCATAAGTAAAGACAATAATACTTCAAAACAAATATTCACAAAATGTTATAATCATCCAACTGATATATTTTTCTTGAAATAATAAACTTGATTTCTAATTAATGAAATTAACAATAAATAAGATGTTTCTCAATGAACCTAATGTTTAAAACATGTATATTCTAAAAAAACTAATAATAAACTGAATGTCATAAATCAAATCTATCTATATTTGATAAATTAAAACTCAATAAATATCGTTCATCATGTCCAAATGCCCCAAAAATTTTAAAAAAAAAAATTAAAAAATAAGAGAAGAAAGAAAAAGTGTTATCATTTTTTACATACAAATAAACTTTAAAAAAAAAAGAAAAAAAAAAAAAACAAGAAGAAGATGTATTACCTTATGAAGAGTGTTGATTTAATTGTTCTCATTTTTGTATTGTTACTCCTTCATTCTCTTTGCTAAGATTCATACTCAATTGCTACAATCACAGTTAGAGGAAGAGCCAAAGCTGCAGTCATAGCTAAAGGAGAAGTCAGCATTGATATCCTATCTGTCACAGTCATGTTTCACTAGATGTTCTCCAGATAATATCTGTAACAGTTATAGATATAGTTGTAAAGTTTGTTAGGAAGTTAGAGCTGTTTGTTAACTGAGTTAGTTAGAGTACTTGCACTATATAATATCTTGAGTTGTGTATATTTGAATCATTGAATCAATAGAAAGAGATTTATATTTTCATCATGGTATCAGAGCTTTAAGCTCTTACGAGCATAATTCAAGATCCATCCATGGCAGATCATGTTTCTTTACCTTCAAGCCTTCAATCTCTTCTGTCCAATTTTGGGTCTCTCATTACTGTTAAACTTGATTCCAATAATTTTTTGATCTGGAGAAATCAACTCCATAATATTCTTTGAGCCACTAGTCTTCTTGGATATGTGATTGGTGCAATACCTTGTCCTTTATTCGAAATTATTGATGCATCTGGAAAATCAGTTTCCAATCCTGTATATACTCAATGGGAAGCAATTGATGCCAATCTTCTTACTTGTTTAACTGCAACACTTTCTTCTTCAATGTATTCATCTGTTCTTCATCTTCAAAGTAGCTCGCAAGTCTGGCAAACACTTGAGCAGAAATTTACTTTTGTCTCCAGATCTCACATTCATCAATTAAAGAACAAACTTCGTACGATTCGAAAGCAATCTTCTTCAATTGATTGTTATCTTTCACAGATCAAAGAAGTCTCAGATCAGTTAGCTTTGTCTGGTACAAAAGTTGATGATGAAGATCTTATTCTTCTTACCTTAAATGGCTTACCGGATTAATATGATGCATTTAAAACATTGATTCGTACTAGATCTAATGTTGTCTCTATGGAAGAGTTGTGTTCCTTACTTGGCTCAGAAGAGATTCATATCGAAAACAAGATGAAGCAGTATTCTAAAACTGATTTGCATGTTGCTTATTCAACAACCAAACCACTTCTGGTTCTAGTTTTGATTTAAGTTCTGTTTTTGAAGCACAACACTCTATTCTTGGATCATATCCTCGTAGTAATTTTAGTGGTAGATCTCAGTACAGAGGAGGTAGAGGTGGTAGATATTTTCATGGTAACAGATCTAATAATCGATTTTCTAACAATCGATCTAAATCAACTTATCCTGGTTCTTCTCCATCTGTTTGTTAGATCTGTGGCAAATCAGGTCATCTGGCTTTGGACTGTTGGTATCAACTTGATCCACATTATCAACCTTCTTCAACCGCTTCTCCAAGGGCCTATGCTGCTGCTGTATCTTCTTCATCTTCAGATTCTCCTGTTCTTCCTTGGTACATTGATTTAGCAGCCACAATTCATCTTACACATGATTTGACCAATCTTCAGCAATATCAAGCTTATCAGGGCTCAGATCAAGTTACAGTGGGAAATATCTCAGTTTTGCCCATTTAACATATTGGGAATAGTGTCCTTCCAACACCTCAATTTTCTTTTCATTTTTCCAATCTTTTGCATGTTCCTTCTATATCATCCAATATTTTATCTATTCATCAATTAACCAAGAATCATAACTGTTTTGTTATTTTTGATTCTGATTCTTTTGTCATTCAGGACAAACACACAAAACATGTCCTGTATAAAGGCTCAAATATCAATGGTCTTTATCAGTTGTCTCCATCATCTTCTATCTGTCCCAAGCAACCACAAGCTTTTCAATCTTTCACTGTTTCCACTGGTTCAATCTATCCAATCTCTGATTTTGCTGTGCCATCAAAGATTGGGTCATCCCTCTGTTCTCAAGCCACAACATTTGGCACCACATCTTTCAAATCAAAAGAGTTTTAATAAAACCATAGCCTGCACTGACTACTATGTATATAAGAGTCATAGACTTCCTTTCAAATTGTCTTGTTCTTCTAGTGACAGTCCTCTTTCTCTTGTTCATGCTGATGTATGGGGACCTTTTACTGTTGATAATGCTACATTTTGATTTTATGTTTTGTTTGTTGATGATTGTAGTAGATTCACTTGGATCTATCCCTTGCATTTTAAAAGTGAAGTCTATGAAAAATTGCTTGAGTTTAAAATCTATGCTGAAAATCAGTTTCATACTTCTAAATTTTAAGAACTAATGGAGGTATTGAATTTGTTAACAAGAAGGTTGCTTCTCTTTTCTCTTCTCATGGTGTTGTTCATCAAACTAGTTGTCCTTATACACAAGCACAGAATGGTGTTGCTGAGAGGAAGCATCGCCATATCACTGAAATTGCTATCAGTCTTCTTCATCAATCTTCTCTTCCCTTGAAATATTGGTTTGATATTGTTGCTACAACAGTTTTCCTAATCAATAGACTACCTAGTTCTGTTCTTTCCAATCAATCTTCATTTCAGGTCCTTTTTAAAACACTTCCAGATTTTTCTTTCTTTAAGGTCTTTGGTTGCCAGTGTTTTCCTTGGTTAAAACCTTACACTACTCACAAACTCCAACCTAAGTCCTTATCTTGTGGCTTTTTAGGTTGCCATCCTACTGTTAACGGCTATAGATGTTTAGATCATCTCAGTGGCAAGTTATTTGTCTCTATACATGTCATCTTCAATGAATCATGCTTTCGTTTTGCTTCTTCTGATCATTCCTCTTCATCTCCTCCTATCTCCTTGAATCATATTCATCATTTTTTCTAACATTCTTCTCTTTCCTCTAAGGTTCCCATTGTTTCTTCTTCATCTGCTTCTTTTTCTTCTTCCCAATTGTCTTCTCCTTCTCATTCCTCTATTCCTCAATCTTCATTATCCTCTCCTCTGAGTTTTTCTCCACCTTCTCATGCTATTCCTATTACTTCTATTCCTATTGATCTTCCTCCACTTTCTAGTTTGCCTTCTAATCTTGTTCATTCCTTGCCTTCTTCTAATGTGCATCCCATGCTCACTCAGTCTAAAACCAAATCTCCTTTGTGTCTTACAACCACATCCTCTTCCTCCTCTTCTTATCTTCAATCTGAACCTCCTACTATTCAGGCTGCTTTAGCTTCTCCTGTGTGGCTTACTGTTATACAGGAGGAATTTCAACCCTTGCAGCAACAGCGCACTTGAGATCTTGTGTCTCTTCCTTCTCATAAAACAACTGTTGGTTGTAAATGGGTGTATAGAATCAAGCGTAATTCTAATGGTTCTGTGGCTAGGTATAAAGACAGATTGATGGAAAAGGGATATCTTCAACAAGAAGGTGTTAACTTTCATGAAACTTTTAGCCCTGTGGCTAAGCAGCCTACAATTCGTATTTTTCTTTGTTTGGCTCTTCATTTCCATTGGCTTATTCATCAATTAGACATTTCTAATGCCTTTCTTCATGGCACATTAGATAAGGAAGTGTATATGCTGCAACGCCTTATATGGTTTTAAACAAGCTCCTCGAGCTTGGAATTCTACTTTCTCTAAGTTTCTTCTTTCTCAAGGTTTTGCTAATAGTCATTCAGATTCCTCTCTCTTTGTTTAGCATACTTCCACTAGTCTTCTCATTCTTGTAGTCTATGTTGATGATATCCTAGTCATTGGTGGTGATCATTCTCTTCTTACACAGTTTATTCAACATATGCATACTGTGTTCTCTATGAAGGAATTGGGTACTGTGTCTTATTTCTTGGGCATCTTAGTTCAAACCTTGTCTCATGGTTACTTCTTATCTCAAGCTAAGTATGCAACTGAGCTTCTTCACAAGGCTGGTTTAACTGATTGTAAACCCTGCTTTACCTCTTTAACTATCAAAGCTTCTTCTCATTCTTCTTCTTTAGATGGTCTTCCATTTTCTAATCCTTCTCTGTATAGGAATATTGTTGGTGGCTTGCAGTATCTCACCATTACCAGGCCTGATTTAGCCTTAGCTGTTAACCAGGCATGCCAGCATATGCATCTTCCTACTAATGCTGATTTTCAAGCTGTCAAACGATTGTTGAGATATGTGAAAGGTACTCTTCACCATGGTCTGCAATTTACTTATGGTCCCTTCTTTCTTCATGCTTTTTCTAATTCAAACTAGGCTGGAGATGGTATTGATTGAAAATCCACTTCAGGTTACTGTGTATATTTGGGTCCTAATCTAATTTCTTGGAGTGCTAAGAAATAATCCATTGTTTCTCGATCATCTACTAAGGCTGAGTATAGGGCCTTGGCTAATGCCACTGATGAATTAGATTGGTTGCAACAGTTACTGACAGACATGCATATTACCTCATCTTCCATTCTTGAGCTCTGGTGTGATAACCTCTCTGCTATGGCCTTGGCTTCTAATCCCAACTTTCCACTCTCGTTCTAAACATATAGAAATCGATTGTCATTTTATTCGAGATAAAGTTGTTGCCAAACAGATTGCTTTGAAGTATGTTCCTACCACAGACCAGGTGGCTGAAATATTCACCAAACCTCTTTCTATCTCTCATTTCCTTTATTTGAAAGACAAGCTTCTCGTACAACCTTGCTCCATCAACTTGCAGAGGACTACTAAGATTTATACTCAGTTGCCACAATCACAGTTAGAGGAAGAGCCAAAGCTGCAGTCACAGTTAGAGGAGAAGTCAGCATTGATATCCCATCTGTCACAGTCATGTTTCACTAGATGTTCTCCAGATAATATCTGTAATAGTTATAGATACAGTTGTAAAGTTTGTTAGGAATTTAGAGCTGTTTGTTAACTGGCCACAATCACAGTTAGAGGAAGAGCCAAAGCTGCAGTCACAGTTAGAGGAGAAGTCAGCATTGATATCCCATCTGTCACAGTCATGTTTCACTAGATGTTCTCCAGATAATATCTGTAACAGTTATAGATACAGTTGTAAAGTTTGTTAGGAAGTTAGAGCTGTTTGTTAACTAAGTTAGTTAGAGTACTTGCACTATATAATATCTTGAGTTGTTTATATTTGAATCATTGAATCAATAGAAAGAGATTTATATTTTCATCACTCTTCACAACTATTGTTTTGTTGTTGTTGTTCCACTTTATTATTTTCATTACCAATGAGTTGCTCTACTTCATCCAATGCTTGTAAACAAATCATATAATTTTTAATTTCCTCCAACGTAACTATTAATGCTCTCATGTCTGGAAAGTCTTTTTATATATTTTTTTATGAATATCTTGTATAGGCCTTGAGGTTGGAAATGTGTTAACTATAACATAAACTAATATTATAATGTGAGACTGAAAACCTTTTTTCGTAAGCTTATAAAACACTTGCTCTTTATATAACGTATGCTCTTGTACTGTTAAATTTGGAGTCATCCGCTCTTACTTAAGTTTAATCCATAGATGATGGACTTCATGCTCCTCTTCCGTCAAACATCCATTAAGTCTGAGGCATCTTTGATTTCGTGCTTTTGAAAATTGTTCCCTTTACTTTATTCCAGCTTGATAGTAATATTGTTTCCATCAATTTTTTTTTACTTATTTTTTTTCCCCTAAGTTTTGCATTGCCCGACATATTTTGATTTTCCAATCATCAATATTTTCTATTTGTAAATCCTTTTTATGAGGTATTGTTTGAAATTCATTTATGGCATTTTACATGGCCAAACAATGATTACGACGCAAATTTAGAGGATGCCGCATATTTATCTGCATAATGAATTTAACACATTTGACATACAACTACATAAAGTAAAAAATCTCAGTAAGTATCATTGTTTATTGTAGATGTATCTATAAAAAAGAATAAAAAATATAAAAATTACAAATCTACTATACAACATCCATCTATTGAGGAGCTAATGTAACTTTTTGTAAAAAAAATGATAACAAAATAATTTTAAAATAAGAAAAAGATAGTGATCAAATTATCGTTGTGCATGAAAAAAAAAAAGAAGGAAAAAGAGTATTCTATTTTGATTTATTGTTAGATTTATTTTAAGATTTTTTTTTTTAAATTACAAAATAAACACAAAGCAATGTCCTTTGTGGGTTTGTATTAGATTTTACGTGATAGATATCTGATTGAGTGAATTGTGGGGGATGGATATGCATGAGTAAATTGTATGAATAAGACTTGGGGGGCGACAACTTTGATATCATTATTAAACTAATCCATTAAATCAAAAAATCAAAAACTAAAAACATTTCATATATTATATCAATTACACAATAAAAGCCTAACAACCATTTATTACATGGTCATCATCCAAACACATAATAAAAATTAATTTAGTAAAATAAATAAATAAATAAATGTGTAAAAAATTTATCAATTTTACATAATTTTATTTTTGGTAAGGTAGAAATAATTTTTAAAAATTCAAAAATATTTTTTTGACATTTATTTTTGTCAAATTAGTTTATATTTTTTATCAAATTGACGATTTTGCCCTGAAAATTGAGCAATGGTATATTCAATTGTCCTTATTTGAAATAAGATTCAAAATTCAGAGTAAAATGTGTCACAATTGAAAAGTCAGAGACTAAAGTGACACAAGTCTCAAACTATAGGGACTGTTAGTGTAATTCGCCTTATTAGAAATATAAAAATGGAGAAGATGAAAAGATGTGTAGATGAACTGAAAAATATTAAGAAAAAGAAAACAAATCGAATTTGATTGAGATGTGTAGATGAATTAAAAAATATTGGTTAAAAGAAATATGTACACACAAATAATAAATATTGAAAAAAATGCATATAAAATAATAACTAATATTAGGAGTATAAAAATGGAGAAGATGAAAAGATGTGTAGATAAATTGAAAAATATTGGGAAAAAGAAATATATATATATATATATATACACACAAAGATATAAAGTAAGAAATAATATTACACCGACTTTGTAATAATTTTCGTAGATCATCAAACTTACAAAATGTAACAATGGAGAAGATAATATAATTTTCGTAGATCATCAAACTTGCAAAATGTAATAATGAAGAAGATGAGTTATTATGAGAAAACATGAGTAGATAAAAGAAAAAAATATGGATAGAGGAAAGGAAGTGATTGACTGATTTCGGGGCCTTGAGCCAATCGATCAGGCAAAGACACAGTGGCCTGCCAGTAGCCAGCTGGGGGTGGGATTCAAACTTGAGATCTAAAGAGGAGCCTACTCCTAGGTCCCAAATACTCGGTTATCAAAAAAAAAAGAAAAGAATTTGACAGAAATATGGAATGAAGTGCATACATAAACGTGTGTGTAGGAGTTGTAGGCGATGGATATGGATGAATATAGATATGGGAGTTGTGGGTGATGAATATAGATGAATATGGATATAAATGAATATTTTATTATTTTATTTTTATTTTATATTTTATTATAGGGAGAGAGAGTGAAAAAGCCTAAATAGTAGGAAGAGAAGTGAAGGGAGATGCCACGTATTTTTTTATTTTTCTAAAATTATGAGAATTTAGGAATAAGTTTTTGGAGCCTTTTGAGAAAGTATTAGGATCCTCTGAAGTTTCCCCCCCCTGAAGTGGGGTGATCCAACGGCTCAACATGTAACTAACCAAAACGACGTCGTTTTGGTTAGTAATTTCAAAAAAAAAATTGCTTTCATTCAAAATTCCCTCATATCTGATATGTGACGCATTACAGAGAGAGAGAGAGAGAGAGAGAGAGAATGAAAAGGGCTGAGAGGAGGAGCTTCTAATCCACCCCTCACTCGCCGCTGCCACGCCACTGCCCGCCATACTCCAACAGATTGAAGGAAAAAAGCACAGGTTCGTTCATCCTCCAAACTTAAAATATTAGGGCTTTGAATAAAAAATTAGGAAAAATCTGAACTTGGCTACCGGATGTCAATGTTGACTTTGATTAAAGTTTCTTTAATTTTCTGCTTCGTGTTTTCAAGAAAATTTGGTTTAATAGAGAAATGTGGATTGATTATATGTTTATTTATCTCTGCAAATGTGAGCACTAGGGATTGTTTATTTGGTGTTAGGGAATGTGTGTTCTCTGTAAATGCAAAATCTGAACGTGTGTTCTTTGCTTCATTGGTTCTTTGATTTCTTTAAATAAAAACCTCACATTAGCTAGGAAAGCAAAATTGGATCTGAGGTACACTCTGTCATTCTAAATGCGATCATGATGTTTATTGCAAATGGTGTTTATTTAACACATTTTATATTTTGCTCCATTTGAGGTTTTAATGCAAAATCAATCCTTGTTAAAGTAGTCAACATGAACCATATTACTGATTCTTCTGCTTAAGCTCAACTATTAGCCTAAACATATTAGTTATTATTGATTAAGTTTATGATGTGTTTGTTTTGTTGAGCTCTCTCCCTTTGCGTGAGTATCTAATTCTACTTCTGGATTAGTTTATACAAGAATCTTTGTGTATGTAGTGTTTTGTTAATCCAAAGTTGAATCTATGGTGACCCATTTGGTTAATTGCGCTCTTGTTGATGTTATATTGTCAATTTTATGATTTGGGTTTGGATTGGGTGTGTATACCCCTTGTGTTTGCTGCGTTGACTTTGTTGCTGTGAGGTTCAGCTATGAAATCTTTGTGAATCTGATTACTTTGATGTGAGGTTGTGCCTGGATGAGTTGTTAATTTGAACTATGTGGATTAGATTTGGGATAAAGCTATAAAGTTTGTAACATTTTGTGCCAAAATCTTGGTGGGTTCCATAGATTGGGATTGCTTAAATTGGATTTGTTTCTTATAATGAAGTCTGGCAATGTGCACTAGTATGGAGTTTAGTTATAATTTGTTTGTTTCTCCAGTTACATTGGTAGCTTAAGGTCATTTAACAGAATGAGGAATGGTTTGATGGTGATGAAACTTTCTATGTTGAAACTTTTGTTGGGATTATTCTTGTGGATTTAATCACATTCCCTTGTAAAATTTATTTTTTTTAATATCAAAACTATTATTTTATTTTCTTGTGGAGCTGATTTGATAATTGATCTTTAGTGTACCATGTAGTTCTTTAAAGTAATTGTAGTGTATTATTTTGAGGAAAAACCCAAATCAGATGGAGAAATCTGATTGATGATATAGATTATGTTATCATTGTGTTACACCATATTATTTTACTTGAGATTTGCTTGACTCAA